AGAGCAACTGAACCTGGCAGATATATACTGAACATTTCATTGAATAACTAAAGAATATACTTTCTTCTCATTAGCTCATAAAACATTCTCCAGGATCGAACATATATTAGGTCACAAATCTACTCAGAAAATTTTTTAAAAATTGAAATCATTCCGAGTATCTTTTCAGACCACAATGGACTAAAACTGGAAATTAATAATAAGCATAATTCTGAAAACTATACAAATACATGGAAACTCAACAATAGGCTCTTGAATGACCTATGAGTCCAAGTAGAATTTAAATGGGAAATTAAAAAATTTCCTGAAACTAAAGAAAGTAAAGGTACATCATACCAAAACCTGTGGGACAGGGCAAAAGGAGTACTAGGAGCCAAATTTATTGCAATAAATGTTTATGTCAAAAGAATAGAAAGACTTCAAATAAATGACCTAACACTATGCCTCAAAGAACTTGAGAAACAACAGCAATTCAAACCTAAAGGTGGTAGATGGAAAGAAATAATTAAAATCAGAGCAGAACTAAATGAACTAGAGACCCAGAAAACAATAGAAGAGATCAATGATACAAAAGGTGGGTTCTTTAAGAAGATAAATAAAACAGACAAATCATTAAGATAAATAAAACAGACAAACAAAGGTCGGTTAACAAAAAAAGAAGAGTGAAGACCCAAATAACAAAATTCAGAAATGAAAAGGGAGACACTACAACTGATACCACAGAAATACGAAGAATCATTAGAAACTAAACAACTGTATGACAATAAATATGAAAATCTGGAAGATATGAATAAGTTTCTAGACAAATAAAAACTACACAGACTAAACCAAGAAGATATAGAACACCAGAACAGACCATTAACAAGCAACAAGATTGAAGCAGCAATCAGCAATCTTGCAACAGACAAAAGTCCAGGTCCAGATCGCTTTACAGCTGAATTCTATCAAACTTTTAAAGAGGAGTTAATACCAATTCTCCTCAAACTATTCCAAACAATTGAAACAGAAGCTACTCTCTCAAACTCATTCTATGAGGCCACCATAACCCTGATACCAAAACCAGATAAAAACACAACAAAAAAAAGAAAATTACAGGCCAATATCCTTGGTGAACCTAGATGCAAAAATCCTCAACAAAATATTAGCAATCAGAATACAGCAACACATTAAGAAAAATATACACCATGATCAAGTGGGATTCATGCCAGTGATGCAAGGATGGTTCAACAAATGAAAGTCAATAAATGTGATACATCACATCAACAAACTCAAGGACAAAGAGCATATGATTATCTCAATGGATACTGAAAATGCATTTGACAAAATTCAACATCCCTTCATGATAAAGACTCTTAACAAATTAGGTATAGAAGGAGAATATCTCAACACAACTTAAGCCATGTATGACAAGCCCACCGCCAGTATCATTCTGAATGGGCAAAAACTGAGGGCCTTTCCCTTAAGAACAGGAGCAAGACAAGGATGCCCACTCTCACCGCTTCTATTTACCATAGTACTGGAAGTACTAGCCAGAGCAATCAGGCAAGAGAATGAAATAAATGTAATCCAGATTGAAAAAGATGAAGTCAAACTTTGTCTATATGCAGATGACATGATACTATATATAGAAAAACCTAAAGATTCTATCAAAAACCTCCTAGAGCTGGTTAATAACTTCAGTAACATTGCAGGGCACAAAATAAATGCCCCCAAATCAGTTGCATTTATATACTCAAGTAATGAAATAACAGTAAGAGAAATAAAGAAAGTAAGCCCATTTACAATTGTCATGAAGAAATTAAAATATCTAGGGATCAGTTTAACCAAGGAGGTGAAAGACCTCTACAATGAGGACTACAGATCACTACTGAAAGAAATTAAAGAATACAGGAAAGGATGGAAAGATATTCCATGCTTCTGGATTGGAAGAATTAACTTTGTGAAAATGTCTATACTACCCACAGCGATCTACAGATTCAATGCAATCCCCATCAAAATACCAATAACATTCTTCACAGAAGTGGAACAAACAATCTTAACTTTCATATGGAAAAACCAAAAAAAGACCACGAATAGCCAAAGCAATTCTGAGGAAAAAAAAATTAAAGCTAGAGGCATAACACTACCTGATTTCAAGTTATACTACAAAGCTATTGTAAACAAAACTGTATGGTCCTGGCATTAACAATAGACATTCAGACCAGTGGAGCAGAATTAAGAACCCAGAAATCACCCGTCAGGTTTACAGCCGTCTGATATTGGACAAAGGCAGCAGAAGTCTACATTGAGGAAAAGACTGCCTCTTCAAGAACTGGTGGTGGGAAAATTGTATATCCGTAAGCAGAAGAATGAATGTAGGTATGTATCTCTCACCATACACTAAAATCAACTCAAAATGGATTAAGACCTTAAGTATAAGACCTGAAAATATAAAATTACTAAGGGAAAATATATGTGAAACACTTCAGCAACTAGGTCTGGGCCCAGATTTTGTGAATGTGAGCCCCAAAGCACAAGCAACAAAAGAAAAAATAAACAAATGGGACTATAGCAAAGTACAAAGCTTCTTCACAGCAAAGGAAACAATCGACAGACTGAAATTGTCATTGACAATTGACTGAATTGTCTCCCTATGTTGCCGGAGAAAGTTTTTCATGATTATGTATCTGACAAGGGATTAATATCCATAGTATCCCAGGAACTCAAGCAATTACACAGCAAAATAACAAATAATCTAATTAAAAAATGGGCAAAGGAGTTGAATAGATATTTTTCAAAGGAAGGCATACAGATGGCCAAGTACATGAAAAATGCTCAACATCACTAGTCATCAGGGAAATGCAAATTAAAACTACATCGATATACCACCTCACCCCAGTTAGACTGGCCATAATAAAAATGGTGAATAACAAATGCTGGCCAGGGTGTGGAGAGAAGGGAACACTCCTACCCTGTTGTGGGATTGTAAATTAGTACAACCACTATGCAAAACAACATGGAAGTTTCTGAAACAACTACAGGTAGATCTTCCATACGATGCAGCAATCCCAATTCTGGGTATATATCTAGTGGAATGGAAATCATCATGTATAAGAGATATCTGCACTCCCATGTTCATCACAGCTCTGTTTACAATAGCCAACGAATAGAACCAACCTAAATGTCCATCCATGGATGATTAGATAAGGAAAGTGTGGTATATATACAGCATGGAATTGTACTGTGTCATAAAAAAGAAATAGTCCCATTTACAAAAACATGGATGAGCCTGGAGAAACTTATGTTCAGTGAAATAAGCAAAGCACAGAGGGATAAATACCACATGTACTCACTCATAAGTGGGAGCTAAGAGAGAAAGAAGGAAGGAAGGAAAGACCACAGTCGTGCATTGGTCTTGCAGAGGGAGACAGTATTCCTTGGGCTACAAAGTGGAGTCAGGGGTTGTGGGGGAAAATATAATAATTTGGTCAGGCTCCCTCAACTCAGGTCCAGTTGGGCGTGGTGCAGCACATTTCTTTGTAAACAAGTTCCGTGGGGTTGGAGTTAGTGCGCATGTGCACCCATGTATCTTTTTAGTTTGCTGCTATCATATGTTCTGCAGTTTGTGAAGCAGAGTTGGCTGGTAGAGTTCAGGCCTAAAAATAGAGCATGTTTATTCTGCTGGCAGCTGCTCAGACTTTTTGTTTTCATTTTTTTTTTTTCCTTTGGACTTTGCCAGTAGCAGTTGAGTTTCTGAGTTTCTCTTTGGACTGCCTAGGTATTATATGCATGCATGCTGAATAAAGACTACTCTTTCTTCAACCAAAGCTCCAGGGACCTTTTTGCTGGTTACCTAGCTCATAGACCTTCATGTGAAGGGCTTGTGAACGGCTCAAGGGGTCTGTGAGCTCTATACCCAGCCCTAGCTCTTCAGGCTTGATGGAGTTTGGATGTTTTGTCCTCCCAGAATTCATGTGGATATTTGATCCCTAATGTGGCAGTGTTGGAAACTGATTAAGTCATGGGGGGCAGATCCCTCATGAAAGGATTAATGCTCTCCCTGTGGTGGGGGGGGGGGGGATGAGTGTCCTGAATGAGATCTGGCTCTATTAGTTCCCATGAGAACTGGTTGTTTAAAAGACCCTGGCACCTCCCCTCTCTCTCCCTTACTTCCTCTCACCATGGGATCTGCTTGTACCCACTGGCTGCCTGCCACTTTCCTTGATGAATAGAAGCAGCCTGAGGCCCATGCCAGATGCAGCTGTCCCAGAATTGTAAGCCAAATAAACCTCTGTTCTTTATAAATTACCCAGTCTTGGGTAGTTCCATTATAGCTACAGAAAATGGACTAATACAGATGAGAAAGGGGGAGGGGGAGTGAAGTTGGGTAGAATTGGGTGGGGGACATGGGGTACAAATGCAGTTTCCAGTAATGTGTATGCTGCCAGTATGAAGTTGGCCTCCACATCATGGGCACAAGTTGTGGCAATCAGCTTTGTACCTCATGAATATTCACAGTAAACAAAATAAAAATAAAATAAAAACCCACACTCCACAAAAAAAAGAAAAAAACACAAATTTTTGTTAAAAATTTTCAAAGCTGATTCAGATATCATGAGTTAATTCATAAGATTTTCAAAAAGAGCTTTAGTATGGGATGCACTGAATACTGAACTCTACCTGAGAATTTGATTTCCTCTCTGTAAAAGAGACCAAGTTTTGTTAGAATATGGGTCTGCTCTTAATGAGATATTATAAAAGGCCACTCTTCAAATGCATTAGCTTCTTGTGCTACTGTAACAAATTACCAAAACTTCGGTGACTTTTAAAATGCACACACTTATTTGCTTACTGTTCTGGAGTTCAGAAGTCAAAAATCAGTTTCAATGGGCTACGTTCTTTGTAATCTGCCCCTAAAGCAGAGATTCCATATCTCAGCAGAATAGCTTTCAACACATTTTTCTCACTTTATCATTCCTCTGATTATTGTCTTTAAAATAAAAGAAAAATTGAAAGTTGTATGTTTTTTAATGTTTATTAATATTTATTGTATTTCCACTTCAAGTAACAGGTAGCTAAGCTACAACCATTCATGTTTGCAGGCTTTCATAATCCTATCTTAAGTGTTCCAAGGTCCTGACAATTTTCATTTTTGCCTTCCACAGATGGATTCCTAAATGAGAAATAAAACAAAATTATACTTCAAATCATAGTTTTCACTTAAAACTCTCTCTGAGATTTTCCACTATGCCCTAGAAAGTCACAAAAAAATTCATTTTATCACTGTATAATAAGACAGGTGGTAAAAACAGATTTATTGTGTAGACTACTATATATCAGTTGCACAGAAATTGTCTAATTAGAAGAGAAAGTCAGATTGCACTAGGTTAAATTTGAATAGGGAAACTATTATTAACATAAATATTTTAGAAATTGTCATGTATGGGAAGGCTCAAAATAAGTGAGTATCCTCACTGTCCATTATATATTTCTACTTAATACAGTGCTGGTGGTACATTCCCTGATGATATTAGTCAACAACACTAGAGAGTTATAAGGCATAATTTCAATCATTATATTTAAAAGTTTGGTTGCAATTTGATGATGTTAATTTGCATCAACTACTCCATACTTTTCTGAAAATAGGCTAAATCATTACTCTTATAGACTCTTTGACAAAAATTCCTTTTCCGACTTTGTAATTTTCTTCCTTTGTGCATGACAGAAAGAAGTAATTTTACCTTCAGTTTCATATGCCCTCCCAAAGGATTTTCACTTCCTTAACACATTATTTTACTTGAATTTTATTAAAGGAATTTATTTTTTAATTGAAACAAATTAATTGTAAATATTTATGGGGTACAGAGTTATATTTTCGATACATGTTATACAATGTATGATGATCAAATCAGAGCAGTTAGGACACTCATCATCACAAAACTTTGTCATTTCATTGTGATGAGACATTTGAGTTCCGCTCTTCTAGCCACTTGATAACATACAATATATTATGGATAGTTATGGATGCCTAGCACTACTGTACACCACAAGAACTTATTTTTCCTATCTACCTATAATTTGGTGTCCATATATTACTGATAATAAGTTAACCACAGCCATTATAAGCCTCTGTTTCCTCCAGATTGCTACTAGATTTACACTGCTGCTTCCCTAAAGACCCTACAATCAGCCACAGGACAGAAACTTTCTCTTCAGCAAAAGGACTGTCTCAGAACCCTGTGAAAAAGGCCAGCACCTCAGGTCCTTCAATGAACAGGTTCTTGGGTGCAGGCTTCTCATGCCATCACATAACCACCTTTTAGGATGATGTCAGTGGACAGAGCCAGCATTTCCAGAGCCCTTTATCTTAGATCATTGGAGTTCATGACATAGTTCAACACAGTATCCAGCAGAACAAGATCTAGATTTGCAAAGTCCAAAGATGTGTACTCTAAAATCAGTCCTTTTCTCCTAACCTGTCTGGCCTTCCCCAAATAAAATGCAGGTGAAAGTTCCTGAGAGTTGCTGTTGAGTACCTTCCTAGAAATCCAAGAGACCCTAATACCTCACTATTAAAGACTTTGGCTTCATTTTCCTAGAGGAGAACATTAAACACTTTCTATCATGAGGCTCTTTTCTCAGGATAGAGTAGAGGAAAGAGCATCAACCCCAGGTAGGAGGGCTAGTATCTCATCTCTGCCGTGCTACATACTCACCATGTGACCATGAGTGATCTGACCAACATCTCTGGGCCTCAGTGGCCACACTTGTAAAATGGAAACTCTAAAAACAGTCCTGCCCTCTGAACCCCATTTGCCCACTTTCAGTAGAAATCATGTCTTAGGAAAAAATCCTAGTCTGGTTATTGTATACCTTGAGCAGATCTGTGAAATAATTTTCCCCTCCCTCACTTTACAGCAGTGAAATCTGAGAGGCCCCCAAGTCAACTACACTACAGGAGACCAGAACCTGGTTCTCCTCCATCTCCTTTCACTATTTTGCCCCTTCATGTCATGAAGAGTCCCTTCTTTTCATCCTACATTTCAGAACCCAAACATCCAATAGCCACAGTATCTAACCTACCTCCCTGCTGCTAACAGCTTTTCTTCGGTAGATTTTGCTTTAACAGAATAAGTTTAGAATTATTTTCTTGACATTTATTCTAGAATATTAAGAAAAGCCAATCTCCATTGACACACAACTCCAACATTGAATAAGGTGGAAGTACCCACACAGAGAAAACACTACTGAGTCTACCCAGAACCAATACTAATACACCCTACTCAACAATCAATATAAAACACATCTATGGGAGGAAATCTCTCTCCTCAAAGCCCACTTCAGAGTAATAGGAAGAGCAACTGCTCAACTGGATGACTAGGAATCAACATAGGGAGACTAGAAACATGAAAAAAAGGACATATGACACCACTAAAGTAATACAATAATTCTAAAGTACCAGACCCATACAGCAGGAAACCCTTGAAATGACTGAAAAGGAATTTTGAGTGAATCTTAAATGAACTTAGTGAGATACAGAAAGACTTAGTTAGACAACACAATGAAAGAACAAAAACAATCCAGGACTTGAAGAATGAAATTTACCAAGAGATAAATTCTATAAAAAAGTAATGCAGCAGATCTCCTGGAACTGATAGACTCAATGCAATAAAAACTACAATTGAGAGTATAAGCAGCAGGAACTTCTGATCTTCAGGACAATCTTTTTGAAACAACCCAAGCAAACCTAAAAAAGAAAATAGAATTTTTAAAAGATGAAGAGGCTCTGAGAGATAGCAGATTAACTTAAGCGCACACACATTCGAAAATCATGGTTTGTTCCAGATGGGGGGGAGACAGGAAAAGGTATTGAAAATATATTCAATGATACAGTCATGGAAAACTTCCAAGGTATTGGTAGAGATATAGAATTCCAGATCCAAGAAGCTCAAAGGTCCCTGAGCAGATTCAACCCCAAAAGGTTTTCTCCAAGACACATCATAGTCAAACTGTCGAAAGTCAAAGACAAAGAGAGAATTCTAAAAACAACAAGAGGAAAGCATCAAGTCACCTATAAGGGAAGCCCCATCAGGCTAACAGCAGACTTCTCAACAGAAACTCCACAGGCCAGAAGAGATTGGGATGATACATTCAAAGTAGTATAAGAAAAAAACTGCCAACCAAGAATACTTTACCCAGCAAGGTTATCCTTCAGAAATGAAGGGGAAATAGTGTATTTCCCAGAAATCCAGAAGCTGCAGTTTACCATCACACAACCAGCTCTACAAGAAATCCTGAAGGAAGTCCTGCACCTGGAGCCTAAAAACCAATAATCACCACCATGAATACACTGGAAAGAACAAACACCACTGGTAGAACAGCTATGCAATTAAGAAAGAGAAAGAAACTATACCATATCACCTCAAAAAAAAAAAAAAAAAAGAAAGAAAGAAAACTGAAGACAAACAATAAAATGCAAAGAAAGGAACAAAAGATATTTAAATCAACCATAGGAAAAGCAGTTAAGTGACAGATGTAAGACAGAGCCTCTCAATAATAACCCTAAATCTAAATGGATTAAATTCCCCACTCAATAGACACAAACTGGCTGATTGTATTAAAAAGCTAGACCCAATATACGCTGTCTTCAAGAGACTCATCTCACTGGTAAAGAGGCATACAGTCTAAGAGTGAAGGGAAGGAAAAAGATACACCATGCAAACGGAAACCAAAAATGAGCAAGAGCATCTATTCTTATATCAGATATGACAGACTAAACCAAAAACCATGAAAAGAGACAAAGCAGGCCATTATATTAGGATAAAGGGATCTATTTAGCAAGAAGACATAACAATCACAAATATATATGCACCCAACACCAGAGTACCAAGATATAGAATGCAAATACTATTATACCTAAAGAAAAAGATAGACCTCAATAAGTTAACAGTTATGGACCTGAACAAACCTCTCTCAGCACTGGACAAATCATCTAGGCAACAAATCAACAGAGAAACAGAAGACCTAAACTGTACCACACACCTATTAGACTTGGTAGATATCTACAGAACATTTTATTCAACAACTACAGAATATACATTTTTCTCATCAGCACATGGAACATTCTCCAAGATAGACCACACGTTAGGTCACAAATCAAGTCACAACAAATTTAAAAAGAAATTAATATCGTTTCGAGTATCTTTTCAGACCACAAGGGATTAAAACTAGAAATCAATAACAAATAAAATTCTGGAAACTATACAAACATATGGAAATTAAATAACATGCTCCTGAACAACCTATGGATCCAAGAAGAAATTAAACAGGAAATCAAAAAATTAGTGCAGCCTTTACAGAAAATAGTATGGAGGTTCCTCAGACAACTACAGATGGAACTGCCATAAGATGCAGTAATTCCACTGCTGGGTATACACCCAGAAGAATGAAAATTATTATGTCAAAGGAATACCTGCACTCCCATGTTTATTGCAGCTCTATTTACAATACACAAGAGTTGGAATCAACCTAAATGTCCATTGACAGATGAATGGATAAGGAAAATGTGGTATATATTCTCAATGGAATAATATTCTGCCATAAAAAAAGAATGAAATTCTGCATTCACGGCAACATGGATGAACTGAAGAAAATTATTAGTGAAATAAGCCAGCACAGAAAGAGAAATACCACGTCTTTACTCATAAGTGAGAACTAAATAAAGAAAGAAACAAAGATAGATAGAAAGAAAGAAAAATGATCACAACAATACACTGAACTTTTAATAAAAAAGAGGACAGAACTGTGGTTATTAGAGTTGGGACAAGGGGAGTGAGAAATTAGTTAAGGGTCACAGAGATTGATTATGTTTTGTAAACATGAGTATACTAATTACCCTGATTTGATCACCACATATTGTATATATTTATTGACATTCTATTCTGTACCCCGCAGATATATATATGATCAATGAAAAGATTTAAAAAGAAGAAAGAAAAATAAAAGCCAATCTCCTACTACCATGAAGAACTTTGGAAGACAAACACTAAAACACTACCAATTTCAGATCCCATTCACAGCTTTCCATTAGGTTTAAAACAAAATTCCTAAAAGAACAGAATATAGTGAATTCACTATTCCAGTGTGATGCGACTGTAATTTCAGGACTGGGGCATGGCCACAAACTGCTTGTTACTCATGGGCTCCAACAGGTATGGGAATTGAACACCAGCATTTAAGAACCTTCACAGAAATCTGACTCTGCCACACATTTAAGTGACAGGTTTCATGTCATAGGACAGGGTGTATACGAGGTCTGGGTGTTGTCGAACTCTAGTGATGATTCAAAGGTGAGCTGTACACTACTCATGCACAATAGCTCCACGTATCAGTTGAAAATTAATTGGAACAAGAAAAACAGAAAAGACAGGCCCTAGGCCAAAGATACTTTGAAGAGTACTGCACAGTCCTAATTCGATAAATGAGAAGAATTAATTTTTCTAAACATCATGGGTTTAGATTTAAATTACAGTGGAAATAATGGACTCAAGTATCTTCAGGAGCCAGGAAGATACTGTGAATGATTGGAAGGGTCAGCAATGGTATATAGTAGGGAAGGGTAAGGACTATAGCAAACTAGAGACCTGGTCTTAATAGGGAAGCAGGTAACCATTTCTAGTTGACAGCAGTCATGTGTACTCCCAGACATTTTGCTTTCCCAAGAGAAGCCAGAAATTGAGCTTTTCAGGTAAAAAGATCTAGATCTTTAATGTTGGCAGCCAATTAATTTTCTTTTAAAAACGTCACTGCAGTCCTAACGATCCCATCTGCTGCATGGATTAGGTATGGGAGCTGCCACTATGTAATTTGTGCTTTAGGAAAATGATGTATTTAATGATCCCTCTTTGAGAATCCTGTTAAAGCAGTCATAAGGGCCTTTTCTAAAGAATCAAGACATCTCCCTCTGCCCATATCCTACAGGATCTGTCACATACATGGACCAGGGGACCTGGGCCTTCAAAACACTTCTGCTCCCAAAGGATGCTGTCAGTGAGAAGAAAGCCTAGTAACCAGGCCTTTGTTCATGCCAACACCAGCCAATGAAACCCTCCATTTCCCCCAGGCACGACGCTTGGGTTCACCTCTTCTCACAGGTGTGATCCGCCATGTTGACCTGTGTCTGACCCTGGCCTGCCCTGACAGACCTGTGATCACAGACCTGGCTGGCAGCCATCCCCTCCTCAGCCTCTGTCCTTGCCAAATTGGGTTTTAGCTTTCCCTCTCCCAACAGGGCACTGTCGCCAACGGCATCCACACCACAGGGCCCAACTAGAGGGAATCCACCCTCACCACTGCCACCACCCCCACCCCTTGTAGAAACGCACAGGAGGCCTCAGCTTAGGTGGGTTTGTGCATTCCCTGGGGCCACCATTCTTACCTGGCCTCCCTCCCTCCCTCCCCTGAGCACAGGGTTCCTTGCACACATGGAAGGGGCTGTGGCAGGTACTATACTAGTCTGCCACTACGCTGGTCTTGGCCCCCATGTTTGCTGTGAGATCCACAAGCACTTCTGATCACGAGCTAAAAGGGATGGCAGGGTCTCCCTGCTGATCCTCCCACGTCCTCGGCTGTGCAGAGAGCTGGCCAACGGGGACTCATTCAAGCTCAACCTCCAAATGCCAACTCAGGCATCAAGCGAAGAGTCTGAAAGAGCCCAGGAAGCCTGGCTTCTTCCACGACTCACAGTGACCATTGGAGACGACTGCCACATGGACTGTAAGGTGACCACCTGACCACACAGAACCACTAACTCGACATGGTTAACTCATCAACTATGGCTTCTCTTGCGTTCAATGAATTCTTCAGATGTGCCTGCTGGTGAAGTATCCAGGAGATTGTGTTTGGTTCTACAATAAGCCACAGTCATTAGCAATATACACAATTTTGAAACATCAGTCAGCTATTTAACCACTACGTCAAGATCTGAGAATACCAATTAATTCTCTGTCACCACCCATCCTAGAAGCACTCACTTTTGACTGAAGGACACTCTAATATGAGAAACCCAAGTCCTGGACACAAAAATGCTTCACTTCAGGGAGAGGAGGGAGTGATGTCACTGTCATGTGATCAGCTGAGGGTGACTCTACATCTGTGTTTGCTGGGGAGAGGCCTGTGTCCTACTCCCATGAACAGAACAGGAAAACATGAATTTGGCTAAGGCTAGAGGTGCTGCACGGCTCTCTATGAGGAACCACAAGTTTTGGAGTGGACATCTGTACAGTGAGGTATCTGTAAATACGAGGTTCAGTGGGCATCACATGGCAAGAAAGGCTTTTTGGGTTTAGATGAGCATATCTTCCAAAGAGCCCTAAGTATACCCGACACTAGCTCCTTTCTTCCTGGGACACTCCTGTGAATCAGCCAAAGGCCAGGCAAGATCCTTCTGCTTAGAGAGATGGTGGAAAGGAGCAAGTATGTCACAAGCAGAAGGAGCAGAGAGAAACCCAGAATGGGGAATGCCTGGTTCACGCATCCTCCCATCTTCTTCCTCGGCATGGCACTCTCCCAACTCTACACAAGGCTCAGCAGGAGGTGGTCTCCATAACCTAAGCATCTGGCCATCGCCTGAGCACCAGGCCCAGTTGCACCTTGGTAAAGGGTGCCTGAGCACCTGGTGTTAGGGAAGGACAACGACGCAGCTACTGATTAAAGGCTACCCTATGCCAATCACCGTGAGAAGCTGCAGTTTACAGCACACACGGCCATAAATGCTAGGAAAACTCAGAGATGGCGGGTTTCTTATTACTCCATTTACACATGAGGAAACTATTGCTCAGACAGAATAGATGAATGTACAACATCACATGACCAGACGGAGGTGAACTGGGATCTCAAACCCAGGCCCTCTGACCTGTTGTTGAAGTCAGTGGGCAGCCTGTGACTATGACCAGCCCTCTGTGAAAGGTCAGCAGGCAGCAGAGGGAGGCCCTCAAGGACCCCATGAACAGTGAGCTCACAGGCAAGCGAACGGATTGCTACAACACTTGATGTGATATCTATTTCTAACTTAAAATAGCACATGAAAGTTCTTATAAGAATTGTATGTGCTTTTGAGTCTATCACTTTGGGACAGAATTTACACAGAGTACACCTATAACTCTCCAAACATGTATTCAGCTCCCCATAGCTCTATGTTGTCCTAAGAAATGCACAATCTTAGACAGGTTATGTGTTTCATCTGAGAATGAGATCAATGGTTGTGTTCATGATGGAATACATTTACAAATAATTCAATTCATTAATCATTAATAACCAGGAAGAACTGCTTGAATTGCCTGATGTAGGCCCGATAGTAGCTTTGATACAATATTAATATTGAATTTACCAGTGTCCACAAGAGGACAGGAGGATCCGTACCACACAAAGTATCACAGCACTAGCCCCCAATCCGTGTGTCAAGTCTTCTTGTGGAATGCGCAGGGTACTAATAAATAAGAAATGAAATCATCATGACCAAGATTCCCTTTAGTATATTTCCTTACGATTTCCCATCACTCGTCAATCTTCATGTAACAGCCCCGTCCCATCAAGTTCATGCCAACCAGTATGCCACCCTCTCCACACCAAACCGTTGCCATCGCCTTCTGACTTTAGATCTTGCCTATCACGAACAAAGCTTTCCCCACCCCAGTCACAGTCTTCAGCTCCACCCCAGTTTCCAACATCGTGCTGGGAATTCAACTTGCCTAGGAGGCCCCCCGCCACCTCCCTGGCCTCACGAGGCCTGTGAGGACGACTTCTCTCCCCTTTACCCCGGCCAGCTTGTCCCTCCAGGGCCACGGTCCGCACTGTCACCATCAGACACGGCTCCTCTGAAATCGCTGATTCAAACAGCCCACACCGACCACACCTTCCACCCTGCAACTCTCTGTGGGACACCTCCCCCTGTATGTATTAGGGAACCCTCCAACTCAAAAGACAGAAACAGAGGAGTCAGGAGGCCTGGCATGGATTTTCATCATTTATTAGCATTTGCTGCTGGCAGCAGCACTGGCTCCTCATNAAGGCTTTTTGGGTTTAGATGAGCATATCTTCCAAAGAGCCCTAAGTATACCCGACACTAGCTCCTTTCTTCCTGGGACACTCCTGTGAATCAGCCAAAGGCCAGGCAAGATCCTTCTGCTTAGAGAGATGGTGGAAAGGGGCAGTGAGAGTGTATGTCACAAGCAGAAGGAGCAGAGAGGAACCCCGAGTGGGGAATGCCTGGTTCACACATCCTCCCGTCTTCATCCTCGGCATGGCACTCTCCCATCTCTACACAAGGCTCAGCAGGAGGTGGTCTCCATAACCTAAGCATCTGGCCATCGCCTGAGCACCAGGCCCAGTTGCACCTTGGTAAAGGGTGCCTGAGCACCTGGTGTTAGGGAAGGACAACGACGCAGCTACTGATTAAAGGCTACCCTATGCCAATCACCGTGAGAAGCTGCAGTTTACAGCACACATGGCCTTAATTTCTAGGAAAACCTGCAGATGACGGGTTTCTTATTACTCCATTTACACACGAGGAAACTATTGCTCAGACAGAATAGCTGAATGTACAACATCACATGACCAGACGGAGGTGAACTGGGATCTCAAACCCAGGCCCTCTGATCTGTTGTTGAAGTCAGTGGGCAGCCTGTGACTATGACCAGCCCTCTGTGAAAGGTCAGCAGGCAGCAGAGGGAGGCCCTCAAGGACCCCATGAACAGTGAGCTCACAGGCAAGTGAATAGATTGCTACAACATTTGATGTGCTATCTATTTCTAACTTAAAACAGCACATGAAAGTTCTTTTAAGAATTGTATGTGCTTTTGACTCTATCACTTTGGGACAGAATTTACACAGAGTACACCTATAACTCTATGGCACTCTCCAGTCTCCCCACAAGGCTAAGCAGGGGGTGATCCCAGGCACTGGGCCACCGCCTGAGCACCAGGCCCAGCTGCACCTTGGAGACAGCTGACTGAGCAGCTAGTGTTAAGGGAGGAGACCAACGCAGCTGCTGATTAAGGGCTACTCTGGGCCACATGCCATGCGAAGCAGCAGTTTAGAGCACATGTGGCCTTAATCTCTGGGAAAACCCAGAGATGGAGGGATTCGTATTATCCTTTTATACATGAGGAAACCTCTGCTCAGAGGGAATGGATGAAAGCCAAAGATCACATGACAAGAAAGAGGTGACCTGGGATCTGAAACACAGTTCCTCTGAACTGTTGTTGAAGTCACTGGGTAGCCTGTGACCAACCCTCTATGAAAGGCCAGCAGGCAGCAGAGGGTGGCCCTCTAGGACCCCATGAACAGTGAGGTCACAGACGAGTGCACAGATTGCTACAGGACTCCATGTGACATATATTTCCAACTTACAACAGCACAATGAAAGTTTTAAAAACTGTTGTATGTCCATCACTTGGGACAGAATTTACACATGGTATAATTATACCTCTCTAGACATGTATTCAGCTACTGACAGCTCTATGTTGTTCTAAGAAATACCCAATCATATACAGGTTAGCCGTTTCATCTGAGAATGAGATCAATAATGGTGTTTGTGATGGAACACGTTTACAAGTAAGTCAATTCATTAGTCATTCATAACCACGAGGAACTGTTTCAGTTGCCTATCTTAGGCCAGATAGTAGCTTTTATATAATATTACTATTGAATTTACCAGTGTCCACAAGAGGACAGGAGGATCCGTATACCACACAAGGTATCACAGCACTAGCCCCCAATCCGTGTGTAAAGTCCTCTTGTGGAATGTGCAGAGTACAAATTAATAAGAAATGAAATCAACCTGACCATGATTCCTTTTTGTACATTTCCTTATGGTTTCCCATCACTCTTCAATCTTCATATAAAAGCCCCATCCCATCAAGTTCGTGCCAACCAGTGTACCAACCTCTCCACCCCACCCTGTTGCCATCTCCTTCTGACTTTAGACCTTCCCTAATGTGAAGAAATCCTTCCCCACTCCAGTCACAGTCTTCAGCCCCACCCCAGTTCCCAGCATCATGCTGGGAATTCAACTTTCCCAGGAGGCACCCCTCCAGCTTCCTGGCCTCACAAGGCCTGTGAGGAAGACTTTTCTCCCCTTTAACCCATCCAGCTCCTCCCACCAGGGCCACGGCCTGCTCTCTCACCATCAGACACGGCTTCTCTGAAATTGCTGATTCAAACACCACACACTGACCACACCTTCCACCCTGTAACTCTCTGTGGGACACCTCCCCTTGTATGTATTAGGGAACCCTCCAACTCAAAAGACAGAAACAGAGGAGTCAGGAGCCCTGGCATGGATTTTCATCATTTATTAGCATTTGCTGCTGGCAGCAGCACTGGCTCCTCATCTAGGGGAGTTTTGGAGGTGGGATGGGGCTGTTGATGAGGTCCCGCCAGGCCTTGGTACCCAGGGAGCGCTACTGTTTCTTGCGTTTAGGCATCTCCTTGACCTGAGGTTCGGTACCATGTTGAAAGAGGCTCTGCAGCTGCTGGTTGCTGTCCAATGCCCTCTGCACGTGCTCTGGGCTGATGCGCTTCCTGCGGCAGTTGTCGGCCTCCTTGCCCGCCAGCTCCAGGACGTTGGCTGTCAGGTACTCGAGAACTGCTGCCATGAAAACTGGTGCGGACGAGCTCAGGCGCTGGGAGTAGCCTCCCTCTCGCAGGAGGCGATCCACACGGCTAACGGGGAACTGCAACTCTGCTCTTGAGGAGCGGGAGAGGGTCCGCCTCCTACGCCCTTGGGATTTCCTGCTGACTTTTCTCCCAGCCATGACGGTTGCTAGATTTTGCTTCTATTGGCACAGCTTGATTTTCCCACTGGCCTGGGGCTGTCAAGATACCAGTGCTTATTATGGCCCACTGTAGGCCCAGGCTGCAGGCCCTCATGTGTCAGGGAGCTGCCTTTGTGACAACCTAGACTTTGTGATGTCATGGCTGCCTACTCAGCAGTCCTCAGCCTAGAAATGCCCATGATAGCAACCTGGTCACCTAGTGACAGGGCCCTCTTGTTGAGGAAACTCTAAATTTCTACATGATTTGAATATTCTAGAAAAAAACTGTTTCAATGGAAACACCGCCCCATCTTTAGGATATCACTACAGGTTCTCTGATTCTAGCGTTGCATTGCCTGTGAGCTCATTTTCACCCCNCAGGCTGCAGGCCCTCATGTGTCAGGGGGCTGCCTTTGTGACATCCTAGACTTTGTGATGTTATGGCTGCTCACTCAGCAGTCCTCAGCCTAGAAATGCCCATGATAGCAACCTGGTCACCTAGTGAGGGGGCCGTCTTGTTGAGGAAACTCTAACTTTCTACCTGACTTGAATATTCTAGCAAAAACTGTTTCAATGCAAACACTGCCCCGTGTTTCGGATATCACTACAGGTTCTCTGATTCTAGCGTTGCATTGCCTGTGAGCTCATTTTCACCCCTCTGCAACTTGTACATCACTGACAGACATGCTCAATGTCTTGTACAATAAGTTTCAATTGTCCCCTTCATACCCTGTTATAAAATTAGTTATACCTTCATTTACATATTCATATCAACATCTCTAGTCAATATTCCTGTGTTTCTTCTTTGGATTCTCTTTTGAGCTGTTTTTAACATCTGCTTGTTCTCCCGTGGGTTAAATAGAATCTTTAAAATGTGTTTATTCTTGAAAAAGTCTGAACCTGAAAGCAAAAACTTATGCCTCAATCCTCCCCTTCTCCGGAGTGATTTACCAATACGAATAGGGTCCATGGCTACAACTGCTCATGTCAGGAACGTGAGAACCATTCTTGACATTTCCCTCTATCTCACCTTCATTCCCAATCAATTCCCACTTCGTTCCACTTCTACATCCTCAACATTGCTCCAATAATCCACTCTGAGTGTTCCAGTTCACACCATTATCATTTGTACCTTAACAGCTGTAGCAGTCCCCTTACTGGCCTTCCTGTTTCTCTTCTCACTCACTTCCAACCCAGTTTCCAGAGAAGTCAGTTTATAAAAGTAAATTTGAGCATGACACTGTGTTGCTTAAAACTCATCAGTGCCTTCCTGTGGCTTCTGGGATAAAGGTTGAAATTGTTGGATGCTCTTTCCTGCTTTTCCTTCACCTGCCTTCTTATCTATCAGTTTTCAGTTTAATCCTAAATTCTGGACGTCTTTGCTTCATCTCCCAGACTTGGTTAGATCCCCCCATATACCCTCACACAGGCTCTTTCACTTCGCAGGATTTACATGAAATAGAATAAATATGTGATTAATCATCTGTCTCATATTTCTCTATCCTATTCCAAGATGATAGGGGCCTGCTCACCTCATTCCCAGCTTTATCCACAGAGAACAGGACAGGGTTTGAAACGCAGAACATCATAAATACTCATCGAGCCTGTGAATGAAGCCTTACAAATCTAACCTCGAATCCTGGCTCCACTGGTGGACTGTGAGCACAGTTTCCTCTTTAGTAGGACGGAGACAGTGTCATCTACCTCACAGAAATGCACTGAAAATGAAACGCAACACTGCCCCTCACAGTGCCTGGCACCAAGCAAGGGTTCATAATATTGT